GAGTATTAGAGTTTGCCAGCAGTGCAATCTGTGGACCGGAAAGGGAAATCACTCATCATCCGGTAGCCAGTCTGGATGGAAAGAAAGCAAAGAAGTTCACTGAGTCTTCACTGTTCAGTAACCCAGGAGAGACATTCTAGCTCTATCCACCAGATGAAGAAACTGAGTCTGCAGCCCCCAGGGTGTGATGGTGGCCTGGGTTCGAGCCTGCACTACTCCTGTGGCCCCATATCCCCCAGCCTCTTCCTTTCCCTAGGTTCTTCCCTGAACTCTGAACACAGCACAGCTAAAGCTACTGTCTTCTTTGAGGGCACTGTAACAAAATGCTCTAGGCATGGTGGCTTATCCACAGTGAACAGTGATCTCTCAACAGTCTGGAGGCTGGAGGTCTGAGGTCACATGACTGGGTTCTGGTGAAGGTTTTTTTTCTGGTTGCAGAATACCCACTTCCACTGTACCCTCACCTTGTGAAGGAGATGAGAGCACTCTCTGGGGTCTCTTAAAAAAATGTTTTAAGCTGGGCATGGTGGCGCATGCCTTACATCCCAGCACTCAGAAGGCAGAGGCAGGTGGATCTTTGTGAGATAGAGGCCAGCTTGGTCTACATTTTAAGTTCCAGGACAGCTGGGGCTAGAAGGAAACACTGTCTCAAAAAAAGAGTGGGGGGTGTTGGAAAGATGGTTCAGCAGTGAAGAGGACTGGCTGCTCTTGCAGAGGACCCAGGTTTGGTTCCCAGCTCTCACAAGGTGGCTAACAACCATCCTTAACTCCAGGGGATCTGATGCCCTCTTCTGATCTCTGGCATTGCACAACACAGGTGTACTTACATCCACACAGGCAATGCACTCATACACATAAAATAAAATAATGAACAAAATATTAAAACGATAAAAATAAATTGTTTTAATTACATTTATTATTTGTGTGTGTGTGTGTGTGTGTGTGTGTGTGTGTGTGTGTTAATTCCAGGGTGCACACGTGGGGGTCAAGAGGACAACTCACTGAAATTGTTCTTTCTTTCCACCACGTGGGTCCTGGTGATCAAACTCAGTCAAATTTGGAAGCAGGTGCCCTTTACCAACTGAGCTCTGGCAGAGCCCTTTTCTTAATGGCACTACTATAGTTTTACATTTAGAGCATTCCTCCAAAGCCCATGTATTAGGGTTTGGTGTCCAGCCTGGCAGGTTGGGAGGTGGTAGAACTTTGGGAGGTCTAGTGGGAGGTCTTAGGTCACTGGGGGAAGCCTTTGAAGGGGATAGTGAGACTCTGACCCCTTCCCCTTCCTCTCTCTCATTTCTCCAGCAGGAAGTGAATGGATTTGCTGTGCTGCATGCTCCCTTTGTGATGTGCCAGCACAGCCTGGAAGCACAGGGTAAACCAATCCTGGACTGAAAACTCCATAGCTGTGACTCAAAAGAAATTTTTCCTACTTGGACTTAATGGTGTATACCTGTAATCCCAACACTCAGGAAGTGGAGACAGGAGAATCATGCAGCCTGGGCTACATGGGATGGTATCTCAAAAAAAAAAAAAAAAACAGAACCAAAAAACAAACATGCAACCCCACCAATCCCAAGAAATCTTTTTCCTTTTTTAAAAAATATTTTATTGTATGTGTATGAGTGTATTGCCTGCATGTACATGAGTGCACCTGTGTCCTGCATTGCCCGCAGAGGTCAGAAGAGGGCTTCATATTCCCCTGGAACTGGAGTTAAGGACGGTTCATAGCCATGTGGGTGCTGGGAATCAAACCCGGCTCCTCTGCAAGAACAGTTGGTGCTCTTAACTGCTGAGCCACCTCTCCAGCCCCGAAACCTTTCTCCTTATAAATCCATTACTTTAAGTATTTTGTTACAGTCACAGGAAGCTTGCTGATACAGTCACTAATTCCATTCCATTCCTGGCTGGTCTCAAATGAACTGTCTATGCTGTTAGAATTTTAATACAAGAATTTTGGGAAGACCTATTTAGTTCCTAATAGTTATATCTGGTAAAAAAAAAAAAAAAAAAGAGAGAGAGAGAGAGACTGCATAGAGGAGAACAGGCTTTAGATTCAGGCCTTTCCTCAGTGCTCAAAAGTCAGAACTAGAAATTCAGCCCTACTACCTCCATCTTCTCCATTGGGCTTCTAGGATACCCATCAAGGGCTTTTGAAGGCAAAACTCTCAATTCAGGGGGCACAGGCTAGAGCTAATGAGGATGGATTAATGGGTTAGGAGGAGCAGCCAGTGAGCCCTGGGCTCATGTCTAGACTCCGACATGACCTCGAACATGTGTAGATTCTACCCTGGCTGCTGTGTGGCCTTGGATAGGACACAGCCCTCTCTGGGCCTCCATTTCCATGAAATAACCAAACAAGGAAGGGTGTCTGTGCTGCTCTGTAGCTGTCAGGAGCCAACAGCCCCAGAAAATGAAGTCAGTGGGAAGGTGAGAAGCAGGGCAGGGAGGCCCTGAGGGTGGGCACAGGGGATATTTTGGGATAGGCAGATTCCCCACGTCACTGCTGGACAATGGTCCAGAGTGGTCATTGTGCTTAGAGTGGAAAGTCCTTTTTTGACTCCCTCTCTGACAATAGTCCAACTTGGTGGGTGGAGACCCTGGGGACAGGGTTTGGCTTGATGAGTGACTGGCCTATTGTTCCTGCCTGGGACACAGCCACTAAGCTAAAGCAGAAACCAGGGCAAGCCAAGAAAATACCTTCTGAACAAAGACTGGCTGGGCAGAGCCATGAGTCAAGTATGGGGAAACTGAGGCCCAGAGAGTGGAAGCAGCTCACTCAAGTCACATGGCATGGGGCACAGGAAGACAGGTTTTGACCCTCTACTGCCCTTTTTTTAGAAAAAAATTTTTTGATTTCATTTTATGTGTATGAGTGCATTGCCTGCATGTATGTAAGTACACTTGTGTCATGCAAATCCTGAGGAGACCAGAAGAGGGCATTGGATCCCCTAGAACTGGAGTTAAGGATAGTTGTTAGCCACCATGTGGGTGCTGGGAGTTGAACCCAGGTCCTCTGGAAGAGTAGTCAGCTCATCGCTGAACCATCTCTCCAGCCCTTCCATTCTCCTTTCTTTCTCCTCAGCACAGTGCACTTATAGCCTAGTCAGCCTGCTAAACTGCCCCTGAATCCATGAGAGGCAGGGGCATCCAGCATTTCACTGTGTAGTGGCAGTAGAGACCTTTCACCTTTTGGTTGCTTGATGCCAGGGAGACCCACAGTCATCCATGCCCTCAGAACTAACATCCTAGTGGGCTTGGCAATCCTCAGTGAGCAGCTGCTAGTTGTGTCTTATAGGTGTGGCAGCCAATGTCATGACTGAAGGAAGAACTACAGTGCAGCAAGGACTCTAGGCTCAGGAGGTCAGCCCAGACAGGCAGGAGGGTGGTCTCAGGTCACACATCAAAACTTAGCAATTTGTTACCTGCAGTGGCCCAGCTCTGGGCCAATTATCCCATCATGGGTCTCAGAGGTCTTGGTTGAATGGAAGTGTGGCCACAGACCACCATGGTGGGCACCAGTAGTCAGGGAAAACAACCATGCCTGCTCCATCTCTAGACTAGAAGAGCATGCTCCCTCTCTTGTCCCCCCACCTCACTCTCTGTTGTCCTCCAGGCAAGGGCCTGGAAACACACACAGGCCTGTGCTACTCAAAAACAGACAGGGTAGCGCTGAGCCCCCACCTTGTCCAAAACAGACCTGCATCTCTCCTTCCACATTCTGGGGGGGGGCGGGGAGACTTGGGCCTCAGGGCACGCCCACTATTCTATGTTTTGACAGCTCTGGGAGTGCTGGGCCTCTCACCTCTGTAGCCCCCCAGCAGTATGAGTGGAGTGTTTGCTGCATGTGAGACACAGCACTAAGCACTTTGAGTATACATGTACTTGAGCACCCAGGTCAGCCCTCAAGGCCCTATGTGAGAGGCTACATCTCGCTGAGATGAGAAAAGTAAGGCTCTGGGATATGGCGCAATGTGCCCCAGGGGCTGTGTAAAGAGTAGAAGTGACTTTCAAACTAGATATGTACTCTGACCCCATCCCCACTACACTGACTGAATCTCAGGAAAGTGTGTTTACAGAGCCTCCTGCCCTGTAGGAGTATGGGATACCAGAAAGACAAATCCTGGGACATCAGGGGACTAGGACTCTTTGATTCAGCCACCTGCTGCTGGCCTACCAGAGCCAACCTAGACCAAGCCCTCCCCACACTCTTGGCTCCTGGTCCTCAGCTGTTAAATAGAACTAATGACATCTGTCTCAGAAGCTGGGCCTGATAGATAAATATCATAGTATGAGTCCTGTCTGATGTCTGGGCCTTAGGCTAGTGCATGAGTTCCAGCCCCCATGAGCCTATTCTAAACAGATTGGCCAAAAATCTCCTATGACAAGTGTGTTAGAGGGATGGTATAGTGACCTGGTCTGAATTGAGACTGGAACATCCATGCATGGTAGACATGTGGTCTTGGAGGGCAAGGACAGCAGTGTCCTCAGGAGCCTCCCTTCTTCCATCCATCCTGGACCACCCAGAGAAGAGACTCCTATGAGAAGAGACACTTGCTCATCTGGTGCTCATTGAGATCAGCATCTTCAGAGACCAGCAAGCATTTACTCTATTCGTCCACTTTGCCCTCCTTTGGTCTCCTGTGCTGAGTCCCTGGCCATAACTCCTCAGCTCTGGGAGGAAGAGCCAGGCAGTGTGAGGGGGTCACAGGGTTCCCACGAAGTCACTGACCTGTGCTGGAGGAGGTGGCACAGCAACAGTAACGGCTTGAGCCCCTGGCTCATTCCCAGGCACCACAATGACCTGCCAACTGACCATGAACGTGGCCTCACCCCTCTCCACCCCTCCCTGGTCTTGAGAAGGTCTGCAGCTAGGCTGGATAAGATAACCTCTAGGCTCCTGTCTGGTGGATGGGTGGCTCATGTGCCCTTTACAGTGGCCTTCAGGAGTCAACAGCCCTAGGAAGTGATGTCAGAGAAGAGAGCAGGCAGGGAGGCCCAGAGAAAAAGAGGAGATATTTTGAGGACAGGCAGGTCACCTCATGTCACTGTTGAACAATGGTCTGAAGCTGGGAGTGGAAAATCTTGGTCTTACTTGGGCTGAAAATAGCACAAGGCAGCAAGGTCAGGAATCTCACCCACCAGGCAAATGGGCTGGGTGCTGGGCAGCAAGGCCAGATGTCCACATGGAGGGGACAGACAGTCCTACTGGGGCGTGAAGGTGTGAGCTTAGTCTGTATCTGGTTCCCCTAGGAACCAGCACCACCGGTGCTTGCCACAGAACTGGGTGGTTAGTGGTCTTCCTGTCCTCCCGGGCTCTATGTTCTCAGAAAGTTTCAGGCAGTGGTTCAAAGGAAGCTTCCTGGTAGGGCCACAGTATAGTCTCCATCCACATGGGTGCTGGGGTTTTGGGTCTCTAGGATACCTGCAGGAGAGAACGGGGACTAGGAAGACTTGGGTTCATGGTGACAACAGTCCCACCCCCAACTACAGATGAACATTAAACACCCCTCCTCCCCCAAGTCATGATGAGGATTCTTCCTCCAGATCTCAGCACAGAACTCAGAGCTTCTCTGTAGGAGGAGATGACAATAACCTGGGATGGGATTCAGTCATAGCAGCTGTTAGGAAAGAGACAGTCACAGACCTTCAAGAAAGTCCCAGGAGAGTCTGTAAGTGGAAGTCACCAACAAAGACCAGAAAGACTCCAGTAACATTGACAGAAATATAGAACTTAGAATATGGGAGGTGAGCATCTTACACTATTCTGGGCAGACCACTCTGAATCACACAATGTAGAGTCACCATTTGGGTCATGGCTTATGATGGCTCCTTGTCACTTGAGGGAGCTCTGGAGCTAGGTTCTAAATACAGCAACTGTGCTTGTAGTCCAGCTACTTAGGAGGATGAGGTAGAATCCTTTGAACCTAGGAATTAGAAGCCAACCTGGGCAACATAGTAAGATCTCATCCCTTATCTCAAAACAATTGAAAAAAAAAAAAAAACCCACACTAAGAGAACAACTGGGGATGTCTTGCCTTCGATGGCAAAGAGGAAAGAGCAGAGATGATACAGGAGGCAAACTAGGTGGGATAGGGAGAGGGACCCACAGGGCTAGGCTGAGTCCCTGTCACCTTTGCCTATCCCTGATTAGCACCCAGAGATGGCCCAGCTGAGTTCCACAGATCCATTCTGAGTGGTCCTGGCTGGGCCTGACACGTGGATGGGAAGAGGAGTGAGTCTCTGCCATACTTCCTCCTAGTGCAAAGGGAAAAGGTCATGGTCATATCTTTGCTTAGGATATGTCTTGCACCTGGATGTTCTGATCTGTTTTTCTACCAGTCCCCACTCCAGGAAGCCCCCTCCCCAACCAAGGGTCCCACAACCCCGTCCACTCAGCAAGATCTGTGCTGGAGCACCCTGCCCCTGCTTGCAAGAACCAGCTGTTCGCCAGTGTGATGGCACTTGGGAGAGGAAGGCAGGAGTCTCAAGAGTTCAAGGTCAGCTTCAATTACATGGCAAATTTGAGGCCATCTTGAGCTATGTGAAACCTTGTCTCATCAGATTAAAAAAAAAAAAAGATTGTCAGGAATTTAGCAAAGGCATTGACATTGCATTGGTAATGTAAAATTGGATTGACCATGGTGGGGTTATTTGTACCAAAATAATTGACAATGCTATAAATAAAGGGTTCCCTTCCCCCAATCCTGTTAAATGGTTTGACATTTACCAGCACATGTGATATTATCACCTGAACTGGGGAACCCCAAGGACTAGAACCCCATCTGACTCCTCTCCATGCTCGGCACAATACAAAGCCAACTGGCTTTGAAGTGGGGTGACCTGGGGTCTGGAGAGGGGTCCCTGACTGAGACTCCCCAGAGATAGTAGTGGGAAGGCAGGTGGCAGAAGACAACAGGCTGATGGAACCCTCATGTGGATGTTGAAAGTTTCCCAGGCCATTTCCCATCCTCTGATCATGTAGCAGAGCACAGCCCAACCAGTGACACAACCTTCAACATGTTACAGCTTCAGCCTGGCTCCCAGCACAGGGCAGTCTTCAGATGGGTCTGACATCAGTCCTCAGATGTTCATCTCTGGCCTGAGAGTCCTTCTCTGAGCTGAGTACACTGTGGTACCCACTCCCACCCCAGGCCACTGTTGGGAATCAGCCCTGACTACTTACAAGAGTCATCTAGTCATGCTGTGACCGCATCTCCAATCCAGCTAGCGAGCTCATATTCTGCTGTGTGACCTTGGCAGGTCATCTTCCTCTCTCCATAAGATGTGGGAGGCTGGATTGCAGCTAGGTAACTTGGCAGAAACGGCCAGCTGTCTGCATGGGAGTCAGGTGGCATTGGCCCTGAATGCTTGTCTTTCTTGAACCATGATTCTCCAACTCACACATACAGATGATGACTGGAGACTTTGCAGCTTAGTGACTCTCCGGGACCACAGTGTGAGTTTCCTGAGGCCCTGCCAAATGAGAATCGCCGATGGTCCGTATCTGAGGATATCATCCCATGTGAATAGGCCTTGGTCCCCTACAGCTCCCCACCATGAGCTAGCACAGGCCTGAGGGGTGCTGACCTATAGCCGGATGTCCTTAGTCTCATTCCCAGCCGGTGTGGACTCTGTCCGCTTAGAGTCATCATGCTTAGAGTCATCACTACTTATTGACACATTTTTCCTTATGGTGTCTGTTCTGTTGGACCTGTGCAGGCCCAGCCTGCGCCGAGCTTGGGGGCTGGGGGTGGTCGGGGAGGGCTCTGTGGGTGGCTTGGGATCTCGGGCAAAGCGAACGAGCCTCTGCCCTGCCAGGAAGTAGAGCACAGGGTCAAGGCAACTGTTGGCGCTGGCCAGTGGCCGGGTGATCTTGTATGCCATGTTGATAGCATCGAGGGTGTGACAGCTGAGGTCCAACGAGCGGAACGAGTAGTAGAGGGTGCGGGTGACATGGAAAGGCAGGAAGCAGAGGGCAAAGACAGCCAGTACCACGGCAATGGTGCGCACTGACTTGCGCTTGGCCCGAGGCAGGCCTCCTGAGGTCCCATAAGCCGGCTTCAGAAGCCGCCGGGCCATAAGTACGTAACAGACGAGGATGATGGAGAAGGGTACTGCGAAGAGCAGGCCCAGCATGACAGAGCTGTAGGCCACAAAGTGATTGAAGAGCTCTCGGGCCGAGGTGTCGTGGCAGGTGATGCGGGTGTCCCGCACACTAGTGGTGACGAAGTAGAGCACGGGTGCCTGGCAGGCCAGCACTAGCACCCACACGACTGCAGCCACTCGGCGGGCATAGCGGGCCCGGCCCCAACGCAGGGAGTGCAGAGGGCGCAGGACGCCCAGGCACCGGTGCACGCTGATGCAGGTGAGGAAGAGGATGCTGCAGTAGAGGTTGGTGTAGAAGAGGAATCGCACCAACTTGCAGAGCACCGTGCTGAAAGGCCAGTGGTCACCCTTGGCGTAGTAATAAACCAGCAGTGGCAGGGAGGCTGCGTACAGAGAGTCAGACACCGCCAGGTGGAACATGTACGTGGTGGAGGCGTTCCAGGTCTTGAGGCGGCACAAGAAGATGTAGAGTGCCACGACGTTCAGGCACAGCCCCAGCACACACACGACTCCATAGGACACAGGCAGCAGCACATACTTGAAGTCCTCGTTGAAACGACACTTGTAGCCGGGCTCATCTCCATTCCAAGTGCTATTGATGGTGCCATTCCAGGGGCCCAGGCCTGCTGCCATTGCCCTGGAGGGAAGGGAGGTGTGGAGAGGAAGCCATTAGGGCTGGGTCTCAAAGGGGGTACCTGACACATCCACTTGACCAGGGCTAGTGGGACCAATAGATCCAACAGATCTACCAAAAAATTCCCCCCCACCCCCACCCCCCTTTTTTTTGAGACAGGGTCTCCTTGTACCCTCAACTGTCCTGGAACTCACTATGTAGACCAGGCTGGCCTCGAACTCACAAAGATCTGCTTGCCTCTGCCTCCCGAGTGCTGGGATTAAAAGTGTGTGCCACCACGTCTGGCAAGATCCCCTTTTTAAAATTTGCCTATGGTTGGAGGTATAGCTTAGAGATAGTATGTTTGCCTAGTATGCAGGAGGCCCTGGGTTCATACCCCAGTAACACAGACATACACACACAGACACAGACACACAGACAGACAGACACACAAAAGATTTGCCTAAACCAGATGTGGTGCACTCCTGTAATCCTAACATTTGGGAAGAAGAAGCAGAAGAACTGTGAGTTCAAAGTCTACCTGGACTGCATAGTCAGTCAGAGATCAGCCTGGCCTATATAAGAGATGCTGTCGCAAAACAAACAAACAAACAAACCCAAAATAATAAAAACAAAAAAGTTTTGCTTAAGTCAGGACTTTTGTTGCCATGTGAGCTGCATCTCTCATGAACCCAGAACCCCCTAAACCCTAAAAAAATGCATTAAGGCAGGCCTGGAGAGATGGTTCAGTAGTTAAGAGCACTGGCTGCTCTTATAGAAGACCCAGGTTCAAATCCTAGCATATACATGGTGGCTAAGAACTGTACATAATTCCAATGTACAATATACTCATACACATAAAATAAAAATAATTAAATATATATTGGTCTCCCTGTAGCCCCAGATGGTCTGGAACTCACTAAGTAGACCAGGCTAGCCTTGAATTCACAGAGATCTGCCTGCCTCTGCCTTCTGAGTGCTGGGATTAAAGGCATGGGTCATCACACCTGGCTAAATAAAAATTTTAAAAATGCATTAAGCAGATGTGGCTAGCGGCATGAGGGAGGCCAGCCTGAGCCTGGGCGCCAGCAGCAGCCCATGTCAGTGGAGGGCAGCCAGGCGCAGCTGGAGCTACAGTCTCGATGGTCATGGCTGTGGGCAGACCGTCTGTGCTGAGGCTGTAATGGTGATTTCTTCACACGGTCCTGCTTTTCACCCTTATTTGCCTCTTTAATTGACGAACTGGAATGAGTGACCATGTCTGTGATGTTAGGGCTGTGGGAGCTGAGCAATTGCCTTAAATCTCTATTTACATTGCTTTCCTGACAATAGAAATGAGTCAGAAAGGAAGGCAGAGGTGGCTGTGGACAAGTGTTCTAAGTCAAGGGAACAGTATGTGCAAAAGCTTTGGAAGTGAGGGAGAGCCTCTTACAGAAATCCAGCATAGCTGGGATGTCAGCAGCATCCGGGGTTGAGTGGAGAGAGTAGACAGACATGAAGCTGAGGAGGTATGAGTCATGCCGGCATTAAAAAAAAATAGATATGGGGCTGGAGAGCTGGCTCAGCGGTTAAGAGCACTGGCTGTTCTTGCAGAAGACCAGAGTTTGAATCCCAGCACTCACATGGTGGCTAACAATTGTCCATAACTCCAGTTCCAGGGGATCAGACGCCCTCTTCTGTCTTCCACAGGCACTACACAACACAGGTGCACTTACACACATGCAAACATAATATTCATACACATAAAATAAAAATAAAAAAAATAGATATGTGTTCACTATGTTACTCTTTAAATACCTTATATACTACTTTGGCCCAAACCTGAGTCTTAGAATTGGTTGATGCAAGAGACTGAAAATCTGCAGAGTACTGACTTTTCAGGATTGAGTTCCAAAGAGGATGAATGAAAAAGGAACAGGAGAGGTGGTACCTTTCACATCCCAACTGAGCCCTTAGAGAACAGAAAAGAAGAAGAAAAAGAAGGAGGAGGAGGAGGAGGAGGAGGAGGAGGAGAAAACTGACAACTTCAGCTGGCAATCCTCAGAGCCTTTGAGGATAGGAGAAAATGTGTTTAAAACATGAGTTTCTTTAAGTCTTAAGATGGTTTTCTTCAGCTCATCTCTTTGTGCCATATTCATCTTGTGAATTGCATTAAGAATACCTGTTAAATGTGTTCAGACCAGTTTTTGAAATAAAAATTTAAAAGGGTATGACCAAAAAAACACATTAAGTCAAAGCTAAGTGTGGTGGTGCATGCCTTTGATCCTAGCACTTGGGAGGCAGAGGCAGGCAGATCTCTGTGAGATCAAAGCTAGCCTGGTCTACATAGGGAATTCCAGGACCATTGGGACTACAGGGAGACCCTAGCTTCTCACCCAAAATGCATTAAATCCATGAAAACATCACATAATTCTACTTCACAACACAGTGAACAAATGATGGTCCAGGGCTGATTCTGGCCTGCCAACCTGTGTTATTTTTTAAGATTTATATATATTTTATGTGTATGAGTGTTTGGCCTAGATCTGTGTATGTGTACCACATGTGTGCCTGGCGCCTATGGAAACAAGAAGAGGGTGTCTGATGCCCTGAAACTAGAGTTACAGATGATTGTGAGCTGCCACGTGGGTTCTGGGAACCAAGTCCAGGTTCTCTGCAGGAGCAGCGAGTGATCTTAAATACTGAGCCATCTCTGCAGTCCCTGAGCCTAGTTTTTGTGACACTGTATTGGAACACAGACACACTCATCTGCTGAGGTGAGCAGTTGTGACAAAGGCCATGCAGCCCTCATAATCTGAAATATTTACTTGTGACCTGCTGACCTTGCTCTAGAACCTCGGGATCAGAGAGTTTAAGATCAGGACTCAGAGGCTTAGAATTGAGATCTGGGGTCCCAGAGAGGTCTTATTTCAGATTCACAGAAAGGGGCCTCTAAGACTGCCCTCTACTGTATCCTGGTGCTGCCCCGAGGCATCTCTGGCTAGGGTGGCTGGCACACCTAGAGCCCTCACAAACACCTGGTTTTAGCTCATCCTTCCATTCTCTGGGGGTAGGTGAGCTAGAGCACTTCAAGGTCTTCCTCTTCCGTCATGCATTTCTCCCTTCCGTCCTTCCTTCCTTCCTTCCTTCCTTCCTTTCTTTCTTTCTTTCTTTCTTTCTTTCTTTCTTTCTTTCTTTCTTTCTTTCTTTCTTTCTTTTTCTTTCTTTTTTGAGACAGGGTCTCCCCAGCTGGCCTGGAACTCACTATGTAGGCCAGGCTGGCTTTACTCTCACAAAGATCTGCCTGTCTCTGCCTCCTGAGTGCTGGAACTAAAGGCATGTACCACTGTGCCCAGCATTTTAAAAACATTTATTTATTTATTCATTCATTCATTTATTATGCGTATGAGTGTTTTGCCTGCATGTATGTAAGTGTACCCATGTCATGCAATGTCCACAGGGCCAGAAGAGGCATGGCATTTCCTTGGAACTGGAGTTGCAGATGGCAGTTAACTGCCATGTGGGTGCTGGGAACCAAACTCCAGTCCTCTGCAAGAGCAGCCAGTGCTCTTAACTATTGAGCCATCTTTCCAGTTCCTTGTTCAACTTTTTTTTTTTTAATATGTATGAGTGTATTGCTTGCATGTGTGTAAGTGCACCCATGTTGTGCAATGCCTGTGGAGGTCAGAAGAAGGTGTCGGATTTCCCTGACACTGGAGTTATGGATGGTTGTTAGCCACCATGTGGGTGCTGGGAATCGCTCTTAACCATTCAGCCATCTCTCCAGCCCCCCACCCTTGTTCAACTTTTAAAATGGGATTTCTATACTCTGGCACTTTCTACATCTGCACACAGCTGTCTTGCTCTCCGGCCTGTAAGGGGACAGCCAGATGGGACAGAGACCTTCTGTGAAGCCCTGGGAAGGCTGGAACAGCTTTGGCAATAGGGAGAGGAGAGAAGCTTTCTAAGTGGGACACATTTAGCTTCGCCTAACCCTTATCCATTTCCCTGTTTTTGTGTCTTCTACTTTGTCCCTAGTGAGCATATGTCACCCACAAGGTCTGACCACCCAGTATGCCTACAATGAGTGCCCGCAGGGCAGGACACCACCTTTCCGAACCTCTCTGCATTCCATCCTTTGACCAGTAAGAGTTCTTTCAGATTCAGGAGTGGCAACTCCTATCTGTAATCCCAGGATTCAGGAGGCTGAGGCAGGAGGAGCAATAGTTTAAGGTGAGTTTGGGCTATATAGTAAGACCCTGTCCAAAACAAATAGCAGGGGCTGGTGAGATGGCTTAACAGGTAAAGGTGCTTGCTGCCAAGTCTAAGGACCTGAGTTTGACCCTAGAGACCTATGTGGTTGAAGGAGGGTGGAAGGAAAGAAGTGATTCTCCCAAGTTGTCCTCTAACCTTCACAAAGTACACTGTGGCACATGTGTGCCTACAGACATATACATAAAATAAACAAATAAGCAAAATATCAAAAATAAGAAGTATGGGTTGGAGAGGTGACTCAGTGGTTAAGAGCACTGGCTGCTCTTGCAGAGGACCTGGATTCAATTCCCAGCACCCACATAGGGCTAAAAACCATCTGTAACTCCAGTTCCAGGGGATGAAATGCTCTCTTCTGACCTCCAAGGGCATTGCATGACACAGCAGTACATGCATACACATAAAATAAAATATTTTTAAAGTTAAAAAAAAAACATGAAGCATGTCTCAATTCTCCTTGAGACAGAGTAAAAAACGTCACAGGACCAAAAGGGCTTACGCCAAGACTTGACATAACACAAATGTGCTAAGTACTGGATAATTTGCTTTCTTTGCTCTTCATTTTTCTGAAATAACATTGTTGTTTAATTACAGAGAACAAGATTGTGTGACTAAATCTTATTTTCTTGAACAGGGTCAAACAAATATTAATTTTAACAAAAATTAATATCACAAATATGCCCCAAAGTCATGAAAGACAGACTGGAAATGAGAGCCCGAATCCCAAGTGGGAAGACCCTCCTGTCAGGTGTCCCGTGAGTCAAATTCCCTAC